CGCCTGTCACTTCAGCATCCTCTTAATGATACATATATAACGAATAAAGCAACTGACGGTAAAACTGACGGTTGCGCAAACAATATATGCTTTTCAATATAAAATTGTGTATAAGCTAGATTGATATAACGTAGCTAAATTTGTATAACGTTATTGACGAACTTGATCTTTGGAAAATAAATATTCTGCAGTAATGTGCATATAGCTGAATAGCTGAATAAATTAGAATATAGATTTCCTCTAACGCGACAGAAGAGAAGTTTATAGATCGCTCACAGGATATATTGCAATTCAGATATTTGAGAAAAGAGAATCACGTAAATAATAATTATGGATTCGAGAAAAAAAAATTTTTTTTAAATAGAATTTAAAAAAAATAGAATTTAAGTATAATTTTGCTGTAATATAAAACTATATTGTAGTATATTTGTTATTTATTAAAATTATTTATTAAAATTATTTATTAAAAATTATTTGTGGTGCAAAGTATTATTAATATTCTTGTGTAATTTAATGTTAAAAATATTTCTGTCTCTTATAAAAATTTAAACAATTTTTAATATTATTTCTCTACATTTAAAAAGTATTTTTTCTCTTTTTTTATATCTGTTAAAAATTGGATATTCAACATTAAATTAAGTTCAATTAAATTTAATGTTTAATATTAAAAGATTACAAATTTTATTTAAGTCTTTATTTTGTAATTAATTGTAATACAATGATGCACATATGTTGATTATACAATACAACAGATTCTTTTCATCGAAACATATACATTTATCAAACATTTTTGAGGTATAAAACAAAATATATATCAGTTATGCTTTTTATTATCATATTTTGTATGATAGAAATGCAAATCATCATTTTTCTACAAGTATGTTTTAATGTTACACAATATTCCATATAAATTTCTTAAATAATTCATCAATGTAATATTTAAAAATATTTTTCAAATAGTCAAAAAATAAAGGTTATTAATATTATTTATTTTTTGTTTTAATATAATTTTGTTTTATATTTAAAAGGTAATGTTGTGTGAAGAATACCAAAACTTAGATTAAAATTATAGAATTCAAAGTATTCTCATATTCTTCTTGCCACGCAATTATTTTGCCGCAGCAGAAAAAAAATTATTAACTAACTTGTTTTAGCTTGACTATTTTTAACATAATTACTTAATTTAATTAACTTGAATGTGCACTCGAGACTTGTGAAACGTACTACTTTTGTAAATTATTAAGTTTAAACTAAAATTAATTTTAATTAACTAATTAATTACTTAATTTATTAATTAATCTTATATTTTAATTTAATTAAAATTAAAATAAAAGATTATAAAGATATTAATTTTTAAAATAAAAAAAATCTAAGGAAATTATATTGCACAAATTATCGAATAATTATTTATAAACATAAATTATTTGTAATAGTAAATAAAAGTAACATTATAAATAATATACTTTAAATATAATATTTTTAATAAAATTTCTTATTTATATCATATTGTAAAACATCTTACAAGCATATTGCAAAATGTTATTTTTTTATTTACTATTTTAAATAATTTATATATTACAAATAATAATTAAGTATCATAATCTTAATTTCTGAATATTTGAGTATTCAATACTTTATGCAGTATGGCTCTTTCGAGTTTGACTTTCGAAGCTATTATTTCACTGTTTGAGTGCACAGTCACATGCATTTTATATTCACATGTGCTTTATATAATTTTAAGTGGCTAAGTTTAAGAACTAAAATTTATAGGCACTCTGTAAAAGTAAAATCTTACTAGAGAGATTAAAACAAGATATAGAAACCTAAGAATCAATATACATGTGTCCTGTCTAAACCTAAAAGATGATTTTATTTGTGACTCATCCCAATGGATAGTTTGACAGGTTAAAATTATACTAAAGTTGGCTTTTAATCGTATCAACCGTGTCAAATAATTTTTTTATTTAATCATTCAATTAAAAAAAAAATATTTGAATCAAATTATCCACTTGGATGAGCAAGTAGTATCGTCCTCCGGTCTAAACTGGACATTACAAAAGAAAAAATAATATTACAGAAATATTTTGCTAATTTGTCGCTCAATAAATGAATTTAATTTACGAAGTTAATTCATGTTAATAGTATTAAAATAAATACGGTATGCTTTTCTTTTAACTAATATTTTGATAAAAGAAAATTCATTTGAATTAGACGAATTTGTGAATATTCCGTATAGAAGAATATATATAACAATGTACAATTTCATTTTACAAATATAAAGAAAGCTAGTAAATTTGTACAAATAATAATTTGCTACATTATGCAGAAAATATATATCTTATTATACAAGTCTTTTAGAAGTCAAACTGATCAACCTCACGTTTTGTAAATTTTTTTAACAAAGTACTTGATTAATTTGAATGTTTATCAATTTTTTTTATTTTTTTGTTTCATGGAATCGATCAGTTTCGCTTCTGAGAGGCTCAACTATATTATAAATCGCGTTTTCTTCATTTTTCGCTAATATTATATAATATTTACATTATAAGTCTCACTCGTAAATGTCACAATTTTAGCACCTATAACTTATTGAAAACGAAAGTGTTTCGACTATTCTGATACCGAGTCTCTACACAATGTTTTACAATGTTTACATACAATTATAATCACTGAAATAGTTTGCTTTTGACGCGCGAAGCATGCTGCGACCACTTTTAACACTTCAGTTTTTGCTATCGATATCTTCTTCAAGACACATTGAATAACATTAATTATTTTGTGTTGTCAACTTTTCAAGATAATCACGTTGCAATAATGATATTCTTGATAATGTTTCATTCTGTAGAATAACGATAATTGATTTAAGATGATCCGGGCAGGACTTTTTCGGTCCTGCCAAGACTTCTGCTGACATTGAATCAACAAAATGCGCAGCAGATACCTCTTCAAAATTTCTCTTCAAAGCTTTGGCTTTCGATCTGCGAGATCATCCTTTAAAACCACGAAACGTGAAAAGATTGTGGCGCAGGTCTGGCTGGCTGTTGAAAGCCTTGCGCGGTATAATGATTGGCGAACGCCTGATGGGGATGAGCACTGTAGGCGTGAGGTTGCTGCAGACCCGACGGCGGACTCTGGAGATTCACTCTACTGCCGCTCGCTGTAATCGCGAGATTCCACGACGGCGACGTGGTTCCCTGATTGTTTTGTTGTTGCGCTTGCTGCTGCTGAGCAGGCGAAACCGAGCTAATCGGGAGTTCTGACGAATTCAATTGATCGGTAGCGGAATTCGAATTGCTAGAATTTGGTCCCATCATGGTGACGAGAGAGTTCGGAGTCGGTGACAGCTGGTGGCTGCTCGTCTGCTGGTAGCTAGATGACGTTGAGGGCCCTGGGTGACTAATATGAGTCGTTGTCGACGAAGTCGGCAACAATGGATTGGGATAAGTCACCGTGGCCGGGAAACTGTAACTCGAAGTCGATGCCACGGACGGAGGCAGGCGTGCCGCGGAATCCGTCGCCAATTGATGCGACATTGACGAATGATGAGACGAGTACAGTTCTGGAACTTGAATGGAACATAATAATAATTATTGCCTTGAGTTTTAATTAAAAATTTAAGTCAATAATTAAAATAGGAATAATGTAGGTATAGATTTCAATTTAAGCAACATCGATTGGAAGGTCTCTAAGTTTCCTGCGTTATTTGGAAAGCTAGATTGCGAATTATTAAAATAGAAATAATATACTACTCTACAAAAAGTAGGGAATGCTTTTCAGACGTATAAAATTCAGCAATTTTTAATCCGCTGAAATTAGGCGAAAAATCATTGGAGACAAAAAATTAAAAAATTATTTTGAAGCTTGAAGTTTGTATTTTCACGTGCATTAGACCGCTTTTTATCTTTACACTTCTAACAAAAGCCCAACAAATTCAGATAGTACATGATATCCTTAGTATGAATAATTGTATATTAGCGATACTTTTTTTTCTAAATAACGCAAGAGTTTTAAGTTAAACTTGTAAATATTTTCAAGACATACACGAAAACATACTTTTGCTGAAATGTCTCAAATTTGTGCCATATCTGAATCAAAATTATCAACAGAGCACTCGATCTTATCGCACTCGATCTTATCGATAATATCCATTTTCAGGTATACTGAGAACATGTTTAGAATATCTAAAATACGATATCCATTTTTAGATATATTGAGATTATCTTCAGTATATCTGAAATATATTCAATTTTTGTAATATTTCTACGGATAGCGGTATATTAAACTTCAAGCTTTAAAATGTTTTCTTAATTTTTTGTCTACAATGATTTTTCGTCGAGTTATAGCGGTTTGAAAATTGCCTAATTTTAAGCGACGGCTGAGTGCGCGGTGACTTCGTGCGTACTAATGGCGCATCGCGTACTGCGCGGAGTAAAATCATGGTGCTTTCAGCCATTCGGCCGCACCTCTTGCCGTGTCGTTCAGGCGTTTAAAATTTAGCAATTTAATCCGCTGTAATTCGGCGAGAAATCATCGCAGACAAAAAATTAAAAAAGCATTTTAAAACTTGTACTTTTACGTGCTTTCAATCGTTTTTAAAATTTTTTATTTTTACAGTCCTGAGTTTCAAAAGAAGAACACATTGAGCGTAAAAAATACAGGTTGAACTTTAAAGTCGTGTAATTCGCTAAAAGAATTGTAGCAAAATTTTAAAAAATGTGTTGAATTTTTCGCCGTTTCAATGGTTTAAAAATTGTTCGATTTTGGACGTCTGAAAAGTATTCCCTATTTTTTATGGAATAATGTATATGGATTAACATTTAAGCAACATTGTTGTCTAAAAATGTTTTAAAAATCTTCTACATGAAAGAACATTTTTGTTGGAAAAATCGTGTCAGATACAGATCTAAAAATAAATTTTGTTTCACAATCAATATTACAGAGAATGAATTACTCGATCTGGCTGATGGATCGTCAAAACTTTTTGTTGCGATATGATCTGCGATAAGATTGAGTGCTCTGTTGATAATTTTGATTGCTCAGATATGGCACAAATTTGAGACATTTCAGCAAAAATGTGTATGTTTTCGTGTATGTCTTGAAAATATTTACAAGTTTAACTTAAAACTCTTGCGTTATTTAGAAAAAAAAGTATCGCTAATATACAATTATTCTGGCTCACCTTGGCCAGAGGAAAACGCAGCATCTGGCAAACTCTGACCGTGAGGATGAGAATGAGGATGGCCCGGCGGTACGGCCGCACCCGCGTGAGGATGAGGTGGTCCCGGCGGGTGCAAAACGTACGAAGCAGCCGGATACGCCACGGAACCGACGTAGCTGCCGGAGGCCGTCGAAGAAATTTGCTTTCTCAATCTAGCTCTTCTATTACTGAACCAAACTTGGATTCTAGCTTCCGATAGCTTTGTTCTTTGAGCAAGCTCCTCTCTAGTGTAAATGTCAGGATATTGAGTCCTTTCAAAGGCTCGTTCTAATTCGTCTAATTGTTGAGCGGTAAAGGTCGTCCTGCTCCTACGCTGCTTTCTTTTCAGCGGGATTCCCGGTTCGCTTTCGCAATCTGATCCGGAACTAGTTTTACCTGAAAAAAAGAGCATAGTTTTAATCGGGAAACTGAAGAGTCACATTTATATTCATTGAAGTCTCATCAGTTTACTTAATGCGCAATAAGACTTTTTCCTCGCGATTTTTTCTTCAAAAGAAAATATCAAACATAGCTTAATCCATACCTATCGCGGTTTAGAAGCTGTTCTACCTTTAGATTATAAACTTCACAATGCGATGATTGATTTTCCCGAGCACAAGGCGAGAAGATTGCGCGATTAGGCCATGAAATAATTACGAAACACTCGTTGCTAGCTGTCGGCTTTCGAGCGACAAAGAAATCGTGTAAAACGATCACACGTGACGATGGACGAATGACAAAACGAGACTCGCCTTGTTCGGCAAAAACGCCAGGCTGACCGATAGAGAAAGGTAGATTGCGCTTTTATAAATATATCGGTGACTTATGTCACACCGAGTGTGAAATAAGCACCTGGCTCTAAACTCGCGCGGTACCCTTTGACGCTGGCGCGACGGTTCTCTAAAAAAAGAAGGCAGTAAACCAGCAATGCGAGCCCATCGATTCCGTTTACGAGGCTGCAGGTGAACTGCCTTACGATGCAAGTGACAGAAACTCAAACAGGAACGGCAATGCATGAGTCAAAGTTAATTTTAAAGTGAAAAAAATAATTTCTCAAACTCTTTTATACATCGAATTATTTAAGGACACAACTTTTAGCCGCATCCACTCGAGCTTTGAAAATAGGCATTTTTTCGCGCATTTTCGTCGCGAGGAGCCGCGGCGAGTAGACGTGACGCGCAGACGTTGAAGACTTTTTGCTTCCGCGATCCGTCGCGATGCATTTTGGGATTGTCGTCAGTTTCTCGAGTTTACACAGCGCGCGACTAATCGGGCGACGACGCCTGACGCTGGGACGGGCCGCGTTAATGCAAATTCGACACGGGCTCTATTCCCGGCTCGTCGTCGTGCTTTTTTTTTATCCACCTCCACCTTCGGGTCATTTCGCTCTCTCTTTCTCTCTTCGTCGAGTTTCACGAATCAACCGACACCTATCCGTATGCAGATGGAAATAGTGCTGGCGACAACGTGATCCGACAAGAAAGCTTGAACCGCGATTCGGCCACGTCCATGTGCGATGAAAGATCAGAAATAGCTCCTACGACATGCCGCTAGGACTTTGGAGGTACTACTTCCTTCCTACGAAAGGGGAAGGCGGAATGAGTATTGTTCAGATATTGAACTAAAAATAAAACCGTTGGGAAGGGCCTGATTGATGATTTTTTAGTGTTTCACGCAGGTATATGTGAACCTGACGGGGGTTAGGTTTTGATGTTCAGGTATCTTTTGACCAGAGATATATTCACTGATTCTATTCAACAAATTGTTTTTCACATTTTACATTTTTTGAGACACTTCCACCTTTCTACATTTTTACTTCACATATTTTGCATTTTTTCACCTTTTTATACTTGTTACACTTTTCATTTCACATTTTTCACATTGTTTTTTTTTTTTTTTTAATAGTTTATATAATTATACTTTATTGTTATTCTATACACCACTGCCGAATTTTTTATACAACATAAGTACTGCAAGTTAAATTTAGCATAAACAAAAAGGTGTTTTACGAAAATCGGATTTTGCAGTCAAATGTTGTAATTTTTTCGACAATATAAAATTTCTTTGCGTATTTTGTAATGTTTTCGGAAAATATTCAAGTTAACTGACAACATTCCACGACAAATCACTACGTGTGATGACGGATTAACATAGCTACTTCGTTCTAATATCGGTCGCAAACCTGGCAATCACTCACCCCGTGGCTAATATCGGGTTCGGAAATCTTCGGGTATTATCCATCGGCCGCAAACACTTAGCCCAGCGAGAGATATAATTTTGTGCTCTGATTTTGAGATTCCCCTGAATCACGCGTATCGTCGGCAAAAGCAATAAAGACCGCACAGAAAACTCACAGAAATATCTCTATCGAAGTCAAAAGGATTCAATCGCGTAATTCGTAATTTACGCCGTTCTCGCCGCGACGAATTACAAGTCCAGCGCAAGATTACAAATTAGAAGGGATCGAATAAGATCGATATTATGCAATTTTGTTCGAATTAACAGTTTATTTATATTCGACTGATCGATTATCATACATTAAGTGTTCATACGTTGGTTAACTTCAATAAAACTATATACCATTGTGTCCTACAATGCATGCACGATATATTGATTACGTATGAGGTCCTCCGCGGAATTTGTTCAACCCTTAACATTTATTAGAATGTCGCATACCTTCTTCGGTCAGCTCATGATTCCTCGTCTTTATACGCATACTAATACCGTGTGACATGTTTCATCTGTAAGAAAAACATTCCGACACGTTCGCCGAACAAAGGCGTCACACTTCATCTCGACAGCTTCGGCAGCTCCTTCGATTCGTGTACACTTGCGGTCGGAATTTAATAGACGGGATCCTTTTCCGTTTCTTCATCCCCCGGCGAGGTCGTGTTATTTCTGCCCTAGTTTCTCTATTTTCTTTTACGGGTGCCCGGGCCATCAGAGCGATCGACTTACGTCCACGAGAATCCTCTTCCTCCTCTTTCCACCGCGGTTTCTTTCATCTTCCTCAGCTGCGATCCCAGGATGGATCTGTGGCGGTATACACATTTCATTTGTCTTGTCAGCACAGCCATCCCTCTGCTGAGGCGCCGATTTGTGTCCGCATTTCGTGAGAATTTCTGTGAGACATCAAGCGCCACTTTTCGTCTCGGATTTCTCGTTTGAACGGCAATTATGTATCTATGCATCAAATTGGTGTATAAAATGTACTATGTACTATTTATCTTATCTTTTTTATCGCAGATGTCATTTCAAATTTTTAATTTTTGCAAAGTCGCTGCAATCACGTCGAAAGAGCTAAAAGAGAAGGAAATCCTGATTGATCTTTGAGTCAGCAGGCGCGCGTCGGCCGTTGATTTTCTCGAGAACGATCAACGCTTACACACACGTAAGCCTCACATCTTACGGTGCAGCCCACCGTATAAGTTCGCGCGTACACACGTGGGCATGTACCGAGCGGCGAGAAAATTACAGAGCCCGGCGGGCGAGGCGAGCCGGGTCGGCTACTGTAGGCAGGCGATCCGACGGCCGAGCACCGCAGGCGAACCGGCAATTTCCGAGACCGAGAAACGCAGGCGCGGCCGATTAATACGCGAGCATTTAATTTACTCATTCATCGAGCGAGTGTGGGTTCCACACGGTGGTCCGTCGTGTGGGCCAGGTGATGGGGCGTGCCGCGGACGTTGGTGGATTCGAGGTCCTTTCACCACGCAAAATTGCGCCCTTATCCTCGAGCTTCTGCTCGCGGATTCAAGTGGGTCAGCCGTGGGTGTCCGGCGGTCGTTCGCTATAACATCGTGCTTTAGAAATATCGCAGAAAGTCACAATATTTTGTCGAAAATGACAACACGCATTTCTGCATTCTGAATTTCCTTCTCCTTCTAGTTTATCACGTGACATCTTTATAATTTAGTTGCAATGCACACAGTCGCCGGACTTGAGAAATATTTTGCGGAAGCCACAAATTTTAAACGGCTTGAC